CAGTTCCAGTAAGTAGTCTTAAATGCATAAGCCTGTCTTTGCCAGACTCTGGATCTGCAGGCCCATGGAATGAGCAATTTCGCATCCAGAGGAGGGTCTTCAGGACAAGGCCACTTACTGTCAAAGAGCCTAGCAGGGATTCCCTCTTTGCTCCTTCTTTATTCCCGATCGCCCCCTCTTCTCTGTCTTGTCCTAGCTTCGAGTACCAGGTTGAGAACAGTATGGGCAGAGGGTGGAGACCTGCATTGGGCTTGGCTCTGTATAGTTGGTGCTGTCTTGAGAACCAGGCTGGGCTGTGTGGAATTATCTACGCTGGGGTAACACGTGGGATTGTCTCAGGATATGGATGTTCAGTGCCCTTAATCCTCACCATCTCCCTCTTGTCCGTCACTCCACTCCTTCTGTCTCTGATAGAAGGCCGAGGCCCCAGAAGGAAAGGGTTGGCCCACCTAACCAGGTGCTAGAGGCAGCAGGGGTTTCTGTCAGGCCTTTGCCTGTAAAAGTAGAGATTTTTGTATGCCCCCTCTAGCTCTCAAATAATGAGATGGAAACCTATATAGTTATTAAAACCTAAGGCACTGTAGCTGGGCAGATGCTGAACTGTTCTAACCCAACTATGCTGCCCTGGCTACTTCCTAGATGTTACCTCCCATCTTAGTCTCTCTGGTACCTCCTTGTTCATTCAGCTCCTTCCTGGTGCCTCATCTCTGGTCCCTCCTCAGACCCCTTGGAAGACCTCCCTCCAAGACCTCTTGGCCCTGGAAGTCCTGCCTTAACTCTCCTGCCCAGCTATAGGCTGGCCAGCTCTTTATTAACCAATCAGAAGCTGATCGGAGAACAATTTTTACACAACATTGAGACAGGAGATGCTTCATATAAATAACAATGTCAAAGTGAGACTGTAACCAGATCTCCGGGTACAGAGATCATTATTTGAAAATGCAGTGCACAAAAACATCTTCCAGTTGACTGATGTTGGGAACATCCTGATGTCTTACTGTGTCCCTCTCTCTCAGGTTGGTTTTATCAACAGCCTCAAGTTCTCCAATGCTGGGGACTTCTTGGTGGCAGGAGTGGGACAGGAGCACAGGTACATGATGGGACGTGGGGCTGAGGACAAGGTGGCACTGGCCAGATGGGAATATGAGGGGGGTGGTGTGGGTCTGCCTCAGCTGCTCGTTCACTCCCTACAGGCTTGGCCGATGGTGGAGGATCAAAGAGGCTCGAAACTCAGTCTGCATCATCCCACTGCGCAGGGCCCCTGCACCCCCTGTTGCTGGCTCCTGACACACCCTTATTTAAGTGCTTTCCAGACCCTGCCCTGCCCCCTTTTTATATTAAAGCCTCCATTTTACAGTTTGTTCTTCTGGCTTCTGGGAGGGGGATCGTAATGGCGGTGGGTATGTGGCAGAGAACTGGGAAGGACAGGACTGTAGCAAGCTCTCAGCTGAAAGCTTCTCCCCTCTCCCCCCAGAGGACTGTGTATGGGAACCTCAGCTGGCTCTTGTGTGACCTCATCAGCCAGCTGCTCTCAAGACTCTGGGCTGAAGGGTCAGAGTGTGCTCACCCCTCAGCCAAGAAACTATGGCTTTTCAGTCCCGTGTTAAGGCTCAAGCTGGGGTCTGAGGACCAAACAGAAGACAGCAGAGCCTACCAGTCAGGCTGACCCCACTTCCCTACCTATTCCAGCTTAGGAAGCTGGAAGGGATAGACAGCCCTTGATGTGGGAGTCTGCTGTGCTCGGAGACAAGGTCAGAACCAGGGAAGCAGTTTTCAGTCTGATAGAGCTAGGCAGGGCCCCTGCTGGGGAGAGGTCTCAAAGGAATACTTCTTTTACATATTGGGTGACTCACTCCCGTCACAGGGTGCGACAGTGGATGAAAGGAGAGACCAGGAGGTGGAAGAGTAGGCCTGGTGGTCAGGTGTCCTCCAAGGCTTTTTTGGGGGGTGACACTGAAATCTGAAAAGTGATGGGAGACCCCACCCCTTAGAATATCTTATGCAAGGTCAAGAGATAACCAGTGTTCTGAATCAGTCAGATGACGGGCAGAGGGAATGAGATGGGGAGGCCTTTGAACCCGTGGAAAGCCTGGGGGTTTTAGTCAAGCCATGAGAGGATTGGGAGCTAAGTGACCGATTCCGGCCTGCATTAAAAAGATAGGCAGGCTGAGGAGATGGGTCAGTGGGTGAAGGCACTTGCTGCCAAGCCTGACAGCCTGAGTTTGATCGTTAGGAGAGAACTGACCCCTGAAAGCTGTACTCTGACTTTGCACACGCATGCCATGGCACATGCCATCTTGCTAAACAGACCTAAGAAAGCAGCCATCTGGCTGCAAGCGGGGTGACAAGGAGTGCTTTTTAGGGGTGGGGCATTGGAAGAAGAAGGGAGGCCAGTCAGGAAGCTGTTACAGGTGAGATTAGGGGGTGATGAGGGGATGGCGGCAGAGGCAGGGGCACAGCTCACCCATCTTGTTGACAGATGTGATGGCAGTGGCCGTGGACAACCAGGTGGGGGTGGAGCAGGTTTTTTTTTTATTTTAATATTTTATTTAAATACAGGTGAATAGAATAGCCAGAACGCAGAGTGCTGAGGAAGACTAAGCTGTAGGCAGAGAGCAGGATTCCAGGTCATATGGGAGGGGTGTCCCAGGAGCAACCACGCTACACCTGCTTGGGAGACAGGAAGAAATCAGAAAAAGAGTATGTGTGTAGGTCTGTGACTGAAGTGCCACCTGTGGGTTGCCGTGTGGCTTAACCGTGGTCCTTCCCACCTACTCCCTCCTGCCACTGCCAAACCTCTAAGGCTCCAGTGATCAGCTTTCCCCAGGAGGCGTGTCCATGACGTGGGGTTGAGCATGAGTTCTGACCTATGGCAGAAGAAACGTGGTGGGGCCCAGCTCTCCCACAGGCACTTGCTTGGTCCTGGAGATGAAGGTCTTGTAGCTGGGCTCATCCGGGTGGGGGGAGGGGGAAGCAGCTTCTCCTTGTTGCTCATCCTTGCTCAGTCCTGGTTGAAAGCACTCCCAGGGTGGATGGCTGAGATGGGCTCACAGCCAAAGCGCCTCCCATGTCCTGGGAAGTGAGAGGGAGGGAGAAACCTGACCTTTGATTAGTTTCCAGGCTGTGCCCCTCACCCTACCGCAAACTCTGCCACAAGTGTTTTTTCCTTCCCAGTCTGTACACTCTTGTAAATCTGAAGAATTCCCCCTCATACTCTTCCTTCTACATGGAGGTCGAGCCTTTCTACGGAGACTTTCAAGTCTAGAGTGGATTATTAGAAAACCAGTGAGTACTCAGAGGATTCCATGGATCAGAGCACATACATAGGCACCGACATTGGCTCCTGGAGAAGACAATTTTATCTCTGGCAGCCCCTTCAGCGCTCCCAATTAACGCCACCTGGTCTCCCAGTCCTCGAACTCCAGAGCTGTGTAGCACCTTCATCAGTGACGGCACCTTCTCCAACGGCCATGAGCACAGTCATGAGAATGGTCTATGGCCAGGGAGGGAAGATGCTTTTCTTCTTAAAACCAACCTGCAAAGGTGCAGACCTCAGAGTGAGCTGGAACTTTCACAACATAGTTTCTGAAAACAAGTCAGAGTCCTAGTAGCAGAGGCTACTCAATTCATCTATCTCCATGTGCTTTCAGAAATAAAAGTTGGGCTCATACCTTTCAACATTGTTTTGAAAATTCTGTGAATATTTTATTACTTTTAATTTCTGTGTTTATGTGTTGTAAGTGGTAATTATTTACTACTGGTTTATCTTTTGTTAAAGCTGCTGTTAGTCCTAAACAGCTGTATAACCAAATCACCACACAGAGACTGGGTTTATTTAGTTAACCTAGAACACAATGCTGGGCAGTAGTTACTTGCTCTGAAACCTCCAAGCCCTCATGGTTTCCTAACATTTAGATTTTTACCCATTATACTTGCTTAGGTCTGGTTCATTCTCCACGTAGTGCCAAGATCTCCTCCCAGCTCCTCTCTCCTTGCTCTCCCTTGCTCTTTCTCCTCCTACTCATTTCCTGCCCTCTGGCTCCTCCTCTCTTTCCTGTCCTCTGGCTCCTCCCATTTTTCAACATTGTGGCTAGTTGCTTTATTTTGGCCTGTTTACACAAAGTTGAGACAGGATGCTTCACAATGCAATATCCAAATTGAAACCAGAGAGTGGGGGCCAGAAATCAGAATTTAAATGAACAAGGGTAAGGTGTAAACATTTCAAAAGAACATGTCTCTGGATGTCATGTGAGCACAGTGCCCTTGGAGGCAAAAGGCCAGGAGAGGGCTGGAGTTCTGGGCTGTACTAAGTTACCCAGTGTGGGAGCTGGGACCTGAACTCAGGTTCTTAATTGCTTAGTTATATCTCCAGCTCCTTAGTTTATTTATTATTATTATTATTATTATTATTATTATTATTATTATTATTATTATTTGTGGTGGAGGCTACCCAATTCAAGACAGGGTTTCTCTGCGTAGCAACTCTGGCTATCCTGGAACTCCCTTTGTGGATCCACCTGCCTCTGCCGACGGTTAGAGGCATATGCCACCACTGCCTGATTCCTTGAAAATGTTTTTTAAAAAATAGTTTTTTGGGGGCCTGGAGAGATGGCTTAAAGGTTAAGGGCATTGGCTGCTCTTCCAGAGGACATGAGCTCAATTCTCAGCACCCAAATGGCAGGACACAACTGTCTTAACTCCAGTTCCAGGGGCTCTGACACCCTCACACACACAAGCAGGCAGAACACCAAATTACAAAAATAAATAAATAAAATATTTATGAATTATGGATTATCATGAATTATATTATTATGAATTATAATTAAATTATAATTATAATTAGTTAAGAATTATGAATTCTTCCACATGTCTCTTCTTGCTCGCCTCACATTTCCCACCCAGAATGACACTGAAGTATCTGAATCCCACTAGGCAATTATCCCGCCCAGGACCACATCCCTGTAGGCATCTTGATCATGACCTCAGTGTTTTCTTAGAACATGAAATTTCTACTCGGCTGTATTACTACAGCTCACTGCCAGCGCCAGCTGACCTCTGGTGAGGTGCTTGTGGCAGATGGCAGGAAGGTATGTGAGGGAGAGATTACAGCATCCAGTAGGAAGCCAGATATGCAAGCGTGAACCCTGTGATAGTCTCTGTCTCTATTTGTGTGTGTGTGTGAAAGAACTGTCACAAAGACCTGTATGTTATACTTTCCAAACAGAAGCCAATGCATTCTTCTGTAATTCTACACTCACAACCTGCCCCATCTCCCTCACCTCATTAACCTCACAGTGACACTTCTGTAGCCCCTCCTCTTCACTATACTTCCCCATTCTATATTAAACATATACATTCTGAAAGCACCTCCCAGTGACTCCTGGGATCATGGCACTGGACTCCAGGCCTCATGCTGTCAAGAGGGCTCTTTGGGGGGGGGGGTGGGAAGATCAGCAGCTGCCCATCACTCATTTGCATTCCTGCCATCTTTGAGGGCAGAAGAAAGAGAACACTGAATGCAAAGCTGAGATGGAGCCCAGGCTGGTTCTTGGGGTCTCCTGGGCACTAGTGGGTGGGTCAGTTGTGTCAGCCAGCCCAGCGCCTCTGTCGTTGGTATCATGTTCAGATATGTATATTATGTTCAGATATGTATGCACTCATGTTCAGATACGTATATCATTATGTTCTTAGTTTGCACAAATGTAGTCACAGCGATCCACAGTTTCTTAAAAATGCATCTCAGTAGAATAGGTCAACTCATCATTTTTACTTTTTGAGACTCTAGATTGCTTGACCCCACAGCAATCCTCCTGCCTCAGCCTCCTGAGTGCTGGAATTACAGACATGAACCACCATGTCTGACTTGACTCACTACTTTTTAATATTTATATAGTGTTTGAAGGTATAAGCGGTCTACGGCTGTACCACCCTGAATGTGCTCCATCTTGCCTGAAGGTATAAGCAGACTTCAAACCATTAAATAAACCCTCCATTGATGATTATTCAAAATTACAAATGAAGTGTTATTACCAATGGCTTGTTATACACCTCTACATCAATGGACCAATGGTTCTGATGATTTGGCTTTGAAGCCAGGGCTCTGGGTATTTATTGGTAGAAGAAAAAGAAAAAATAGGCAGCACTCTGTCTTTTCCTTGGAAGGGACTCAACTGCTGCCTGAGTCACAGCTGCCCTTATGACATCATGGGACACTCTCCTCTGCTCTCTGCTCATGCCAGCACTGGAGCAGAACAGACCTGAGGGGATTTGAACCATCTACACCCAATCCATGTGTGAACAATGGTGAGCGAGAGAGGGCAGACACATTATGCTTGTAACGTATGTCTCCACAGATCTCTCATGATGAGGGGACCTTCTGATAGCTCAAGAGTTTGGGAAGCAGCCAGGCTGTGGTGGCACATGCCTTTAATCCCGGCACTTGGGAGGTGGAAGCAGGCAGATTTCTGTGTTCAAGGCCAACCTGGTCTACAGAGCGAGTTCCAGGACAGCCAGGGCAACACAGGAAAATCCTGTCTCAAGGAACCTAGAAAAAAAAAAAAATCTGGGAAGCCCTGGAAGTCAGGAATTTGTGGGTACAAACAGTGAGAGAGGCGGCGGCCCGGCCCCTGGCTTTCCCCATTGCTTAGTGCAGGGTGGGGAGCAGCCGAAGCCTGAAGACCTCAATGCACCTTAATGCAATGTTCCTCAGGAGAAGCAGCAGCCAGTTGGTCTAGCCTCAGGAACAAAGAAGGCAAAGATAGATTTGGTCTTGGTATATTTCTGGCCATTTTTCTTTGCATGGTATAGAGCTCGGACCAGGGACAGATGGTTGGCCCTTATCTTCCTTCTTTCCCATCTCATTTTCAAGCTAAATGGTTCAGAAATGGAAAACAAATAATGTTAGTGTGAAATTGGGAATGCTATAACTGCTCAGACCAAGGGACTGGGGCTGAATCTGGGAGTTTGTGGAATGGAATAGCTAAGATGCAGGGAAGTGGGTTTAGAACTGTGTGTGTGTGTGTGTTTCCGCTTCTGTGTGTGAGTCTGCTTGTCATTTAAGATGAGAAGTGTGACAGTCATGAGGAAGACAAACCAGGCCTGCTAGTGCACACCGGTAATCCCAGCACTGTTGTGGTAATTAAAAATGGCTGTTGGGCTGTGTAATGTTTACTATTAGCCCAAGATTATCACAGTGGTATTATTGAACTCGCTATCACAAATAAGAAGACATGGACATCTGCTAGATTTTATACTTCCCTTATTTACCTTGGGCCGGGCAGATATTTCACCTACGCTGTCTCAATAACCTCACCATCCACCCCCCATCCCCCATCCAATGCCATCTGCCTTCATTCTCATCTGGTCTACCTTCCATCCATAATCCCATAGTACTGGCTTGTATTCTTCATCTGGGCCTTTTCACACCACTATTGGAGTCTTTCTTCTTCACCCATGTGGTTCCTTCTCCATAGTAGCCCATCTTGGCCTCCTCCTTCCTCCTCTCTTGTGGTGATTCTCCTAAACCCAAAGCCTGGGGAACCTTCGCCATGCCTACCCCGTTCTGCCCTGCCCAGGTATAAGCTGCTTAATCAACCAATCAGATATAATGACTTAGGCAGGTTTATACAACAAGGATAGGTTTAGGTGAGCATGTGCTCTTCGGAGCAGGGACAAGATCTTGGGGTCCAGTAACACTCATCAGACCAACCTTCCAACACAGCACTTGGGAGGCTGAGACACTAGGTGAGAGGTTGAGGCTAGCAAGGGCAAAGGGAAGATGAGAGATTGGACTATATGAGTCAGAGGAAACCGAAGAGGAGGCTTCAACAAGAGGGTGGGAGAAGGCCGAGGAAATGGGGTAGAGTCAAGAGAACAAAGGAGAGCAGTTCTCTCGGAGTTTCTAACTGGAAGGCACCTGGTTCTGGTTAGGTGGGCAGGCTCACTAGGACATAACCATTTCCTGTGTATATGGGTCACAGGTTTTGCCCGCAGCCTGCTAACCCAGCCCGTGGGAAAGATGGAATAGTGGAGACTCAAAGAACGAGATGAGCTGCTAGTGGCCTGAAGCCAGACCGTGGCAGTGGCAGGACACTAACCCAATTCTTCTAGTTTCAGTCAGTGTCCTGACCAAGGCGATGAGTGTCACAGGGAAAAGCAGGGGCAGCTGTTGATGGGGAACCAGGTCCTTTCTCTGAGTCTCCTTGTGCTGAGGTGATGATGATATTCACCGGGTATCCCCTCTCTTTTTCCTCGCAAGTCCCAAGAGAACCAGAAACTCCCTGAAGAGACGCCAGTGGTGAAGATCCAAGCTTGGTGGCGCGGCACTCTGGTCCGTCGGGTGCTCTTGCACGCGGCCCTCCGAGCCTGGATCATCCAGTGCTGGTGGCGGCTGTTACTGCCGAGGATTTTGGAGAAGAGGCGGCAGGCCATACTGGATACCTTCCAGCAGGAGCAGTGGGCAGTGGTCAGGTTGCAGTCCTGGGTCCGCATGTGGCGAATCCGCAGGCGCTACTGCCAGATGCTTAAGGCTGTGCGAATCATCCAGACCCACTGGAGGGGCCACGCTTGCACTTCGCGGGGCGTCATCAAGGGCCAGTACCGAATTTCAGCCAGCCAGCTGCATCTTGAGCTGGAGATCTTGCTGGGCTCCGGGCCTTGTATTGTAACTGAATGTATCCCCCTCCCAATAAAGCAGTGAGGCGGTCCTAGGCACAGTTTCTCTGCTTGACAAGTTCCTGGAGAGCGTGATGGGAGACTCTTGGCATTTTGTACACTAGCTCTGAGGAAGCGGCGACCCTGGGTTCTTGTTCGGGATTGGCTTCCACCTGACCCTCAGCTTCTGAGTCTAACCTGACACCCAAACTGGAAGCTGTCAAGGGAGTCCCATGGAATTCTTTTTACTGTTGTCTTTTTTTTTTCTTTTCTTTTCTTTTCTTTTATTTTCTTTTATTTGGTTTGGTTTGGGTTTGGTTTTTCGAGAAGGGTTTCTCTGTGTAGTCCTGGCTGTCCTGGAACTCGCTCTGCAGACTACACTGGCCTCAACCTCAGAGATCTACCTGCCTCTACTCCCCCCGACCCCTCAAGTACCGGGACTAAAGGTGTGTGCCACCACCGCTTGGCCTATTTCTTAACTCTTTAATTCTGAGTCAGAGATAACTTCTGAGTCCCATAATCCAAAACAAATGGGATCTTCCTTGTGTGTGACAAGTCTATGGTTGCTGGCAGTTTCTCTCCTGCATAGACCTGCCCCTTACCCTGCTTGAGCATTGACAGACCCTCTCGCTGACTGTTGACCTCTTTTCACTCCAAGTGGCTCCGGCTTCTGCTCGCTAGAGCCCTGCCTCTGCAGAGACGCTCCTCCTCCAGCCACGTTCTGACTTCCGCAGACCACCGATGCCCTTCCCCAGACCACTGAACATGATTCGCTTCAGCGATGTGTCTGGAGACTGTAGGGTCTAAAAGCCTGCAGGCTCGGGCAGTGCCACCAAGCTAGGCTTGATCACCCCATCTCCAGGATGCCAGTTAAAGGGACAAAGAGCTGTGGAAAGTGGAGGAGATTAATTGAACTTGGCTGCAGTGCAATGAGGAACAAATAAGGCATCCAATGAGTGCAAGTCCTTCTTCGGGGAGCTGAAGTCAGCTTTAGGTTTAAATAGAACTGGGGTGAGGGGCAGGAGGTTCGTATAATTGGGCATGGTCTAGGTGTGGACCCCTTGATCATTGTCTCAGTTCTGATCCTTCTTGGTTGAGAGGGGATGGAGTGGTCCTTAAGGATGATTGCTTGTTTTCCAGGGTACAGCCCTGTTCTCATAGACAACAGGTATTATCTGGTGGTGGTTTGTCTTTGAAGATTGGCAGCTCACGGAGTCAAAGGTGGCTGCATGTTTAGTCTTATCGCTGTGCTGTCAGCCTTGAAGGGGATGAGATGGCTCAGAGAGATATTCCTTTGGCCGTTAACAGTTAACCTGAAGAAGCAACCAGGTGACCTAAAGGGAAGGAGGCAGATGTGAAAGGAAGGCAAACATGCCAGGCTCTTGTCATGTATCTGGTATAGCCTGGATCCTCTGCTGAGCATGCCTCCTTTGGCAGTGCCTTCCCATTAAGGCAGTTGGTATTCTCATTGGCTCTGAGCCATCGTGTGAGTCTTTCCCTATTCCCATAACACCGCCTGACTCAGTAACTTTCATAATTGCTCAGGAAGGGACAGGAGAAAAGAAACAAGAAAAAACAAGAGAAAACTACACATTCAGTTAAGAAGCAGAATCCAAGTCATCTACAGGAAAAAAAAAAAAAAAAAAAAAAGGAATCACTGGCTAAACGTGTGTCAAGGTTTCACCCCAAACCTTGAGAAAACAACAATCCAGAGAAGCTGGGGAATGTCCATCAGACGCTGGACCTCAGTGCTCCACCTTTGGCTGAACTCAGCTCAGTGGTTAAGAGTGTATACTGCTCTCCCCGAGGATGAGCTCAGTCCCCAGCCCATCTCTGATCCCCACAGCCTCCATGAACATTGGCAGTCATGCGCCCCAACATACAATGTGCAGATAACGACAAATAGTAAAAATAAAAATATATATATATATCTCTAATTGTACTTAAAAAAACAGGAAGGAACATTCAGGCAAATGCAGAAAGCAGATGAATTTTATTTGTTTGTTTTGTGTGTGTTTGAGACAGGTCTCACTCTGTAGCCCTGGCTCTCCTGAGTACTCATTATGTAGAGCCAGGCTAGTCTCAAAATCACAGAGATTTGCCTGCCTCTGCTTCCCAGTTGCTGGGTTATAGGCGTGTGCCACCATGGTCAGCAGATCCCAGCTTGAGAATGTGAGGATAGGCCATGCAGGCCATCCAAGTGCAGAGGCAGCAGCCGGTCCAGGGGTTGCTGGGCACTGGCTAGAGCAGGGGCTCTTTGGCTCTTCTTCCCAGAAGCAGCTGACTCTCCATGCTGATGAAGAAGAGGGTCTGTCTCCAGGAGGACCTGTAATTGAGCCCAAGGCCTGGTGTGACACACTCACCCATGACACTGACATTCCATTTCTGTAATCCAGGGAGTCAGTGGCAGGGTCCTCAGTCATCAAAAGGCTAAAACAGAGATGAACACTCAGAAGAGTCACCATGCTTTTTAGGAAGCCATGAACACGGGAAAGCATTGCTAATCCCACAGGAGAAATGGATAGCCCAAAAAGACTTAAAGAGCTGGAGAGATGGCTCAGAGGTTAAGAGCACTGGCTGCTCTTCCAGAGGTCCTGAGTTCAATTCCCAGCACCCACATGGTGGCTCACAACCATCTGTAATGACATCCGGTGCCCTCTTCTGGCATGCAGGCACACATGCAGGCAGAATACTGTATAAATTCTAAAGAAAACCTTAAGCTAATTTAAAAGCTGAGCATAGGGGTGGTGGGACATGTCTCTAAGTCCCCAGGATTTGGGAGGCTGAGGCAGGAGGGTTGTTTGAGCCAACCATGAGTGAGCTATATACTGAGATGTTCTCTCAAAAACAAAACAAAAATCTTCAGAGGATTGTAGGTCAGCAGTAGAGCAAGGCCAGGTGCCTGGATTTGATTTCTAGCAACACACAGACAGACAGAGAGAGACACACACACACACACACACATATTCACACACAGACACAAAGACAGACCCAGACACACAGAATAAATGAAAGGGAAATTTAAAGAATGAAATTAATATCTCCAGTGGATGGAAGAGGTTGCATTAGGCACGAGATAACTATCATCAAAGTGCCATTAGAAAGGAACATGATAGGCCTTTAACTGATGGGATGGATAGCAGAGAGGACCCACCAAGGGCAGATTCATGAGTGAAATATTTGACATGGAAGACCCCCTTGGACTGCAGTCCAAATGGGCAGAGAAACGAGAGATCAGAGAACAAAACAAAACAGAAAAAGCAACGGTGCAGAGGTTCCAGGCCTGGCTGAGTCCCCGAGAAGAGCCAAGATGGAGAGCAGCCCCATTAAAGCATGGACAAGATTTCTAAAGGGACTCACTGTCCTTCAAAAGTTGGAGACACGTGGCACTCCATACTGGTCACAGCACAAGGTCATAAAGAGATAAGCAGGTTACCTGTCTAGGGACCAAGTATCAGGCTGGCCTGGGTGCTCTCAACAGCACTGTGGGGGTGGGGGAAGAGTGTGGGGTGACCCCAGTGCCATGAAAGAGTCAAGGAGCACAGGGCCCCCGAATGTCGCTCAGATAGAACAAAGTGCAGGCCTCATGTAGTTCATCCTAAGACCAGCTGTGTACCTGAAGATGACCTTTGTACTAGTTGGTTTTGGGTGTCAACTTGACAAGCTAGAGTCATAGAGGAAGGAGCCTCCATTGAGGAGATGCCTCCAAGAGATCCAGCCGTAAGGTATTTTTTCAATTAGTGATCAGTGGGGGAGGAGGGCCCAGCCCATGTGAGGTGGTCCTGGATTCTCTAGGAAGGTGGGCTGAGCAAGCCAGCAAGCAGCACCCTCCATAGCCTCTGCATCAGCTCCTGCCTCCAGCTTCCTTCCCTGATTGAGTTCCTGTCTGACTTCCCTTGATGATGAACAGCAGTGTGGAAGCGTAAGCAGAATAAACCCTTTTCTCCCCAACTTTCTTTTTGGTCACAGTGTCTTGTCACAGCAGTAAAGACCCTAACTAAGACAACCTTGCACTCTTAGTCCTTCTGTACTCCCCTTGCACCCCAGTGCTGGGACTACCTGTGCACACCGCCATACCTGGCATCTTGATGTGGGTTCTGGGAATGAAGTTCAGGTCTTCATCCTTTTGCAAGGAAGCATTTGACTTTGTCTCTCTCTCCAGCCCACCTCTGAAAAGTTACCTCTATGTCAAAAGCAAACTCAGGAGCGTGATACAATAAGCATCGATGAACAGATATGACGAAGATTTATTGTCACAACCAAACAAGATTTCACCATATGTAGATTTCTATAAAACAAGAGTGCAGTCTCACAGGGCACCAACACAGGAGGTGGCTGGAAGCAGTGGAGAGCAAGGGGACACTGGGATAAAGCTCCCCTCATCTCCTCATGGAGACAGGGTTTCTCTGTGTAGCCCTGACTGTCCTGGAACTCGATCTGTAGGCCAGGCTGGCCTGGAACTCACAGAGATCCACCTGCCTCTGTCCCCTGAGTGCTGGGATCAAAGGCGTGTGCCACCTCGCTCAGTTTTAAAATTTCCTTAAGTCTCTCCTGAATGTCTCTCTCCTGCTGTGGGATTAGCCATGCTTCCTCACATGTGTGTATGAGCATGTGTGTGCAAGTACCCCCAAAGAGGGACCCCCAGTGCTGTCTCATGTGGGTTCTTTAGAAGAGCATCGAGTGTTCTTAACTACTGAGACACCTCTCTGGACCCAAGCAGACGTATAAAAAATAAATTGCTTCAAGAATATTTTATATCGCTGAAAAATTAGCTAACATAGCTTCCTATCAAGACCAAACAAGGGTAATACAAAAATATGAAATTACCAATATGTAACACAGAAGGAAAAAAGTCAATAAAGTATTAGCAAAACTAATTTAGCAGCATAGACTAAATATTAAGTCTGTATTATATACTGCATGTCCACACATACACCATGACTGAGTAAGCTTAATGTCAGATATGCAATTTCAATATTTGAAAACCAATCATTGTAACTTACTGTAATATTAGAGAACATTCAACTTGTGTGTGTTATGTAATGA